TGACATCAAAGTCAGTACGTCCACTGGAAATCTTCAACAGAACTTTAATTCCTTTTATATTAACAGTCATCTTTATACATTAAAACAATTCTAAGTGAAGAAGCCATTTAACTGATTAAGTATAAAAAATAAAGAAAATGTCATAATAAAGAAAACTTATGATGAACAAAAAATGCAAATGATATGCAACTAAGAAGCTAAAGTCTGCCACAAATCCATATCAGTTCACATGAGTGCAGATTCAAAAATTAGTTTTTAATGACTGTATTCAATGTAATTAAAGAAAGTAATTATAAGTCTCCAAGTCAATTTTCTTTGCCTATTCACTAAACTATTTTTAACTATTTTAAAGAGATTATTACAAAACTAATTTTAATTAATCAAAATATATTAATGAAGAGGATGATATATTCATATATATGTACACACACAAAAATATTACCAATTCTCCCAGGAAGCAAATACTGCTCCTGGGAAGTTCTCAAACATCAATGTTTGAGAATTCTCAATGTTCCATAATAACATGTTAAAGATACTTTATTATCATTATAGTAGCCTAATAAGTTACTAGTAGGTTATTTACGTGGTATCGGGGACCGAACATGGGAACAGCCACTTGCAAGGCAAGCGCCTACCCACCATTCTATCACTCCGGCCCATATTCGATATGCCAAACACAGTAACATGTGTCACAATGAAGGCATTACTGGGCCTGCTCGAGCAAATTGAAGAACGGGAGGACCGTGACCGTGAGGTTATTTACAAGAAAAATTAAAATGTTTTTCACATTTATTTATCTCATCATGCCATAGAGCAGTCTTATTTAAAAAGAGTAGCACATAACAAGAGCTATCAATTGTTTATGTTTAAGGCATTGCAGTAAGCACTTTGTAGGCATATCTTTATTTAATCCCAAGAACAACACTGAAATGTAGGTGTTGTATCTATGTTTTAAAGAGAAGAAACTAAAATTTGGGAAGTGGTTTGCCTGATGTCATACAATTAGATAGTATACAACAACTAACAACTGTGTGACTCAAAAAAATCTATAATGGAAAGAATCACGAATATTATCTTCTTGAAAAGCAGATAATATGATATCCATTCTTAAGTCCAAATTCAACTACTGACTTCACTTTGGATTCCTCAGGATAAATGAATATACTGTTCATGGGAAGTCAACGACTCAGTATTTACGTAAGTAATATTTATTGTAGTAAGTTTCCATTGCTATAAATCCTGATTCAGTGGTATCAAACCTTTTCTTCTGTTGTTTCTTTGTATTCTTCTATTATTTTATTTGTCCTTTTAATCTCCAAATGTTTGAGTTTTTCTCCATTTTTGTTTACAATGGCTTTTTTCTCTTTTTCTCTGTCATTAACTCCTATATTTGTTTGTTTGTTTAGGGGCAACACCTGGCGGTGCTTAGGAGTTACTCCCAGCTCTACACTTAGGAATTACTCCTGGCAGTGCTCAGGGGACCATACTGGAAGCGAGAATTGAACCAGGGTGGGCCACATGCAAGGCACCCTATTAGCTGTACTATTGCTCTGGTCTCTAACATCCATTTTAAATTCATCGCAGTCTAAAAGGATAATTGATAGGATTTCTAACTTCTTGATTTTATGGAGATTATTTTGTGACCCAGCATGTGGCCTATCTTAAAGAGTGTCCCATGTACACTGGGGAAGAACATGCAGTCAATTGGAGGAAAGCCTTCTATTTGTCTGTAAGGCTCATCTTTTCTAATTCCTTTTTAAAGCCAGTATTTATTTATTTTTCTTTTTGGGTCACACCTGGCATTGCACAGGGGTTACTCCTGGCTCATGCACTCAGGAATTACTCCTGGCGATGCTCGAGGAACCATATGCAATGCTGGGAATCGAACCCGGGTCAGCCGCATGCAAAACAAACGCCCTACCCGCTGTGCTATTGCTTCAGCACCACCTTAAATGTATCAAAACTTATACTGAGGATCTGTACTTAGCAAAGAATAAATTACGTACCCCTCTCCAAAAACAAAAATAACATGAAATACATACTGTAGAAAAAAATACATTGATGACCATCCATTTCTCAATATATCCAATAATGATTTTCCCAGTACTTGAATCAATTTGTTTATTAATTATCAGACACTACGCTGGTCTACATTTCAGAGAGATGCGTGCTCATCACTATTAAAACTTCAACTACTTAAGTGGCTAACTTAACTCTTCTTTTCATTGAGTAATATTTGGTATACATGCAGAGTCTATAATATAACCATAACTCTTAAGTTAAATTCTCCCGTATATAGAGAAATACCAGTCTTAGAGTACTTTTAGTGTTGTTGTTGTTGTTGTTGTTGTTTTGGGGGGTGGAGGTTTTGGCCATGCTCAGGAATTATTTCTGGAAGTGCCCTGAGGACTACATGGAACGCTGAGGATAAAACTTTAGTGGCGGTGTGCAGTGCAAGCATCCTACCAGCTATTCTCTCTCTCCAACTTGAGAAACAGAAGTTATGAAGGCAACTTTTTCAATCCTCAACAATTTTTCCCTAACCCTTCATTGTTTTCATCTTTTATAAGATTTTAAAGTATGTGATAGTAATTTATATTTTGTTATACTAAATTTTCATATGTTGATATAATCTTATAACTGTAAAGGCTAAAAAGCTTTACATATGTAAAGCTTTTATACTTAGGAGTTTTTCCTTTTAACTAAAAATTACTGTGATCGGTGATCTTTTGTATATATAAGTGTATAATAATTTCCCTGAGTCGCTTATACTTTTATGATAACAATCTATTAACCACCAAAAGCAAAGAAATAATTTTGCCCTTCCTAAGGAAAAAATGGGAAACCTAAACTCTTGGTGAGTGTGATATATAAATTCAACAAGAAAATATATTTTAATATATTAGATGTGAATACAATTTCCATGTAACGGTATCCTTGGGGGCTGTTTCTGGGTTCTATTCACGCACCAAATGGTCCCCTGAGCACTGCCAGGAGTGACCAAAAAACAGAGCAAAACAAAACAACAAATGAACGTATTGTTATCTAAACTTTTTACCCAAAACACAAAAAGTTAAAGGAAAGAAATTAATGACCTTAGAATTATTTAAGGTAAAGACCAGGGAAACTGAATTATTTTGCTTGTGAGACCATTTTCCCCCCACTCTCTCCAACTAGCCATCAGGAAACCATGGTAACAATTTTGAGTCACCTTTGTTTCTCACCAGCGAGAAACAATAAGAATAAAAGAATGAACATTCATTTACCAAATAAAAATGTTCTTGATTCTTGGATAGATCTACTATCCACGATAGCAGATGGACAACAAAAATTCCCAATTAGTGGACAGCAAGATAGCACAGCGGGTAAGCCAGTTTGCCTTGACCCGGGTATGATCTCAGGGGCGGCTAGAGTAATCCCTGAGTATGTAGCTAGGAGTATGATCCATGTGCTCTGCACACTGGTTGTACCAAACCCCACCCCTCCATCCGCACATATATTATATATATATATGTAGTTGTGGAGCTAATTGTGAAATATATTTATTTATTTTGTGAAATTGTGAAATATATTTATTATTTTGCTTGTGAGACTATTTTTCCCCCACTCTCTCTCTAATATTTATATATTTATTTATTTATAAATATATTTCACAATTAGCTCCACAACTACTTTAGTCACTTGTGTTAGAGAGGTAGTACAGGTAACAAGGCAGCAAATACCATTTGATGCCCAGTCCAGAACCCTGCCAAGAGCACTTAGTAAAAGCCACTAATTACCATCAGAGTGACTCAAAAGGCGAACAACATAAACAAATACATACATAACAGTCAGCTCAACATTCACCCTCACTCAAATAATTAGAGGATTAAAATTGCGATCAGGTGACCTGAACTTTCCAAAAAAATTCCACATAAATTAGCTAATCTGAAGTTATTCTCATAATTAGACATTAAGTTCACCATAAAAAAAAACAAACATACAAGTTTAAAAATGCGAGATAGAGAAAACAGTTACTGGGGGGCTGGAGCTACAGTACAAGGGGTAGGGCGTTTGCCTTGCACCGAGCCGACCGGGCTTCGATTCACAGAATCCCATGTGGTCCCCCAAGCACCGCCAGGAGTGATTCCTGAGTGTAGTGGAGCCAGGCCAGGAGTAACCCATGGGAAGCCGGGTGTGACCCAAAAAAAGCAAAAAAAGAAGAAGAAGAAGAAGAAGAAGAAGAAGAAGAAGAAGAAGAAGAAGAAGAAGAGGAAGAGGAAGAGGAAGAGGAAGAGGAAGAGGAAGAGGAAGAGGAAGAGGAAGAGGACAGTAACTTTGGGATCGGATAGCTGAACCCAACCTGGTACATTCTTGCAACAGGGTTCAATCCCTGCCACCTCATGGTCCCCAAATAGGACATTATGCTCAAGCCCCTAAGCCCCTCTCACTGGGTGTGGCCCCCAAATCAAACAAAAAGCAAACAGGTCATTTTCAGTATTTGTTGTCGCTTGAAATAAATCAGGGAGGAGGTAACAAAGGCGTAAAACACATCACTGGGGTCAGCTTGCAAATACTCCTGCAGGGATTTTCTCCCCTCCACGACACCCGGCTTCGGAACCACAGGCCCCAAGGCTCAGGTGAGGGCTCGGGGGTCAGAGGCAAGAGGCCCGAAACCTGTGAGATGCTCAGGATGCTCCAGCATCCGGGGCGGATGCTAGGTTGTGGGTTGGGGGTGTTCCTTTTGTTTGCTGGGGACGGAGGGAGGGTGCTGTTCCGTTTTGCCTTTATAGAAAAGACTGGGCTGAGCCCAGGGAGACCGCAGCGGCTCCCGGAGACCTCGCCCGCCCCCGCAGGCCCGGACCCCAGGCCTCCTCCTCCTCCTCCTCCTCCTCCTCCGCCCACGCCCGCCCCGCGCCGCCCGCCTAGCAACGCGCCGGGGCTCCCTAGCAACGCGACCCGCCCCCGCCCGCCCCGCCCCGCCCCCGGCGCCCGGGGACCGGGTCGGGGCCGCAGCCTACCTCCTTCTTCTTCTGTCCACCCCCGAGCTGGATGCAGAGGAGCAGCAGCAGCAGCAGCAAGGGAAAGCTCCCGGGGGGCAGGTACCGCGGCCGCCGCCCCGCCTGCCTCCGGCGTGAAGGAGCGCCCCGGGCACCCATCGCCGGAGGGCCGCTTCTCCTCCACGCGCGGTAGCCGTGCGCGCCCAGCTCCCGCCCGCGTCCCGCACCTGCCAGCCGGCCGCAGGTAGCCCCGAGCCCGCACCCCGCGGATGGCTGCGGCGCGGCGCCGAGCGGCGGCAGGAGGAAACTGACGGAGCATCCGGTTCACCGGGAGACCGGGAGCGGCCCGGGCGCGCAGGAAGTGGGCGTGGCCGCGGGCCCGGGCGCCGAGGCCCAGGCCGGAGGGAGCCGGCCGCGGGGGCACCGGGCTGCGGCGCAGGAGACGCGCAGGGGGCGAGGGCTCGCCTTCGCTGTCCCCCGCTCCCCGGGAAGGACTCGTCTCACCACGCGTTCAGCGCTGCCGTCGGGATGCCCTGCAAGCGATGGCAGATACTGAAGATGAGCCGCTAGAGGCTGTGTGGTTTTCGTTTGGCTTTGGGGGGCCACCCCCAGTGATGTGCTGTGCCCTCTTGGGGACCAGGAGGTGACAGGGATCGGACCCCCGTGCAAGAATGCGCTCGGTTGGGTTCGGCTCTGCGATGGATGCCAAAGTGACTGTCTTCCTAACCACGCAGCATTATTGGTGAACTCGGTGTCTGATGATGAGAAGAACATTCTCCGAACACTCCCTGGGGCTCAGTTCGAGTCTCTCTCCGAAGTGGTCTGACGTTCAAGAATTCTCTGGATGGTGGCAGCGGCCCCCACAATTTCACTCTGACCCATCCAGCCCCAATTGAGGAGCCCCTCGCTTCTGGTGTTCCTTGTTTCTTTCTTTCAGCCCTCGTGGAGCCGAGAGGAGTACTGGACGCTTGGAGACAGAATTGAACAACACTTTCGTCCAGTTCCTGCTCCGAGTATTTGAGCAGCTAAAGCCACCGAATGGGTATCTGGAGTGAGTCAAGAACGGTTCTTGGAGCTGGAGAGTTGTAGGAGTTTAGTGTGCTTGCCTTGCGTGCGGCTGACCCCTGTTCAGTCTGGGCACTCTGTGGGAGTGACCCCCTGAGCACTGAGCCAGGAGCAGCTCCTGAGCATCGCTGCATGCAGCCGAACCCTTACCCCCCAAAAAGGAATTGTTCCAGTGCTCCATAATCACTGCTCTCCTCTTTTTCGAGAATTCTTAACTTGAACGCCTTTGGTAGCCTGATGAAGCACTAGACTGCCTTAAAGTATTTCTAAATGCATGAATTAAATACGAAGAATTACAAGATAATTGAGTATAATTAAATACCGTTATCAAAATTAAAACAGTTCCTCTTTCTTCACATGGAGTACAACAAATATTTTTATTTGGGGAATACTGAAAAACGGCAGAGACAAAGTATAAATATTTCGGTATCACAGTGTAATTTTGATTGGTGAAGAGGCACAGAACTGTGACCTCTAGCCAGCTAAGTACCCTGAGATCTACAGATAAATTCTACAATGACATGCACCCCAGCATCACATCTAGCAGCACTTAAAAAGTAAAAGTAATTTTGAAGCAATAATATACGCAATATTCAAAATAGTTGCTTAACTACTGTGGTATAAGAAAAGTCTGTAATTTCAACAGGAAACAAAGCCATAAACTGAAATTAGTACTGTAATTTGGTGCTTGCCTTCAAAATTAAACAATATTTTTACAAGAGTTCAATAGGAGCACAATTTAAATTTTTTTCCAGTTCAATGTCATGGATGTTTTGAAAATTCATGGACTCCAGATTAAGAACACCCCCTCCTGTGCAACCTTATTAAGTTTCATTAAAACAATTTTCAGATCTAACAAGTCAGAATAGTAAAGTAAAGTAAAGTAAAGGCCCTCCCGTTGATCATCGAGCAGGCCCAGTAATGTCTCCCTTGGAGACTTTGTTGATATCTAACTCAAAATTAGACAGCTATAGAAATAGAGCATCAAACTTTGATGTTCCAGCTTCATAGATATTTGTATATAGCATGCCACACGACCTTTTTAGAGAATTTTACAAATACTTATCTACCAGGTTGATTTTCTACAAATAGAATAGGGACTAAGCTGGAGAGATAGTGTTAGGTATATGCAAGCATGTTAGTAAATCTTAATTTATTTCTCAGCACCACATGGACCCCCAGCATGGCAAGGTGCTGTTCTTAAGGTCCCTGGCTCTGCTGGGGAGTGTCTTGTATGCCCCTTTACATATAGGACCGGGATTGCCCAGGTAATTCCTGGTAGCAAAACAAGCAGAGCAAAACTGCATCCTCTGACTCTCGCATTGAACCTCCAACCATTTTGTTAAGATTGGTTGGGAGGTTCCCCGAGACTCTGAAGCACTGCAAGCTTACTCACTCCTGCTAAAACTGCACCACCATTTGGATTTATCTCAACTAATAGAAAGACTAAGTTACATGTTCTGTCACTTTTGTTTTGTTTTATGGCCTCCCCCAACACTGCTCAGGGCTTTCTTCTGGCTTTATGCTCAGGGATCACTCCTGGCAGGGCTCAAGGAACCATGTATATGGTGCCATGCAGTCCAGGTTGGCTGTGTGCAAGGCAAGTGCCTTCCTTGCCTGCTGTACTATCTACCCACATATTCTTTTCTGAGCAGCATACTCATAAGAATGCTGAGGGTATTTAACTGGACTACACAACCTGGTACTAAAATGGCCCACGGTCCAGACCCCTCCCTTTACTACTCATTATAATATTTAAAATCAGGCTCACAGATGTACATCAAAGCTACTATTGAAACATTTTATGCACTGTCACTCCTTTCTCACCTTTACCTCTTTGAAAACCCTTCCTGGCCTAATAAATTCACGGAGGCAGCAAAGATACCCTGCCCCAAGCTGTCTATCTTAGCATCTGCACACAAGCAATTCATGCATCCTAAATCACTCCTTGGTCTCATGTCCATTTCTGTTTACATTGTAAAGCTTGGGATTACATGAAAAAAAAATGTGCATATTAGATAGTAAGCTAATAACATTTTTCCTTTGAAAACTGTGAAAATGACCTCCATTTTTGTCGGTTTGGAGACAAAATTAAAAATGTTGTCCAAATCAACCAAAATGAACATAACAGAAGTCTGTTATTTTCCCCTCTCTCTTAGAAATTTGTAATAATTTTTTTGTAATAAATGGAATCTCCATCCTACTTGCCAGTTTTCAGAACCCTAGAATTGAGTATTTTTGCTCTTCTCTCCAACCAGGGCACCGCCCAGACCTAATTTTCAAGTTATTCTTTCTTCATTAAAATCTCCTGCACTGTCACTATCCCTGTGCCTCCCATTGTTCATTGATTTGCTTGAGCGGGCCCAGTAACGTCTCCATTGTGAGACTTGTTGTTACTGTATTTGGTATATCGAGTATGCCACGGGGAGCTTGCTAGGCTTTGCCATGTGGGCGAGAGAATCTCAGTATTTGCCGGGCTCTGCGAGAGGGGCAGAAGAATTGAACCCGGGTTGGTTAGGTCAGCCGCACGCAAGGCAAAAGCCTTACCTCTGTGCTATCGCTCCAACCCAAAAAAACCTCCTTATTATAAATTAAGATTGATTAGAAAGATATTAGAAATCGTTGATAGATTATCTTCTTTTCCTGGTTTATTGTCTCTCTATTGTCTTTCCAGTGGCCTAATCCAAGAATTTGTACTCCTGCCTTCTTGCATTTTATTCTTGGTAAAGAGGCTAAAGAAATCCGTTTAATACATAAATCAATGAAAAGTATTTTCTCAGTTTGCATTTTGAAAAAGTCTTTTCCATGCCCTTAATATCCTAATATCACTTTGCACTTTATTATTTTTCTATATTTTTCCTTTACTTTTCTTCTGCCATCTCACTTTGCTCCATCAGATTTGCTTCATTATTTTTATTCATATGCAAATGTATTTTCCTTTTAGCCTTTGCACTATTGTTATATTTGATGAAACCTTTTCCCATAGTTAGATGTTTATATGGTAATTGTTCTCATCTTCTTCAGGTGAAAACTTCATCCTATGTGCTAAGAAGTCATTGCCTTATTTCTCAGAATAGCTCTCTGAAAAAAATTAGTTCCTTACCTTGTACACTCCCCATTTAACCTTTTTTCATAACCCTTATTGCTATCTGAAATTCAGCTATTAATTAGGCAACAATCTGTATTTATTTCTGGTTTTCTCCCTTATGATAATTATTTTATTAGAAAAGACTATTGCATGGAATAACCCCAGTTTTAATCTTTTTACAGTAGCCATCATGAACTGACAGTAGTCTTTCATATTCATTTATTTGACTTTGCCCACCAAAACATATAAGGTAATTCCTTTGTTTTCTGATACACAGAGTAAGAGATTATTAATGACTGAATTCAGTCATTATTTATTCCTTAAAATATATAACTAATCATGATATGTCTTTACTGGGGGTGCGGAGAGAAGTTTCGACCACATCAGCAATGTTCAGGGTCTTCTCCCTGCTCCATGCTTTGGTTTGCTTTCTACAGTGCTCAGGTACCTAACTGGAGTAGGTTATATGTACGTAAAGCAAGATATTTAACCCTTCAACTCTCTGGCATCTATTCACGTCATCTTAAATAGTTCTTCACTATTTTTCAAAGGTGGTCCAAAGTCTTGTTTATGTCACCTAGTCTAAACAGATTTTTTTTTATTTCAACACAACAAACTTTAAACTGAAGTACCCCTCAAAGAAATTCATAGATAAATAATATTAAGAAAATTAACTTCCAAAATGAGCTATTATGAATTACTTTCCTAAATCTGAGGGACTTGGAAAAAGTGCCTGCATGAGGTGCTTGCTCCCCTGTGTAAAAACAATTGCCTCTTCTCTTCTCTGCACATGAAATATACCTCCCATTCATCTAGGGTATGTGGCCACTACAGAGGATTTTAAAAACCTGCAGTAGCAAACAAAAGGGCAGTATACTTGTTTTTATAGGTGTTGAAATAGAGATTCTGATTTAGCAAAAATCTTTTCCTTAATAAGAAAACTTCTAATATTTTGCTTTCAATAATATTGAAGAACACAATACACTTGTCAGATATAGATGATTTTAAAATAGTTCTGAGGATAGAATGCTATGTAATTTTTGACAGACTACTCAAAAGGAGTTCAAAGAACTGAGTGATATTGTGATGACAGATTCCTTCTATTCCTGTCTCCTTATTATGAACATTCTCAGCACTTAAAAATTAAAAATAAAGTGGTGCAAAATGTTATCTCA